AATTCAATCAAACTAAAAACTTAATAAAAGACCTATACAGACATAATAAATTCAGACATCATTTAACTAAAATATAAATAAATACAAATAATACAAATCAAATGACAGTAGTTTATCAGTAATCCTAAAAAATCTGTGATCTGCGAGCAGCTGACCGACGCCTCCTCTGAGCTGTTGATCCAATCAACGTTAAAACGCCGATGAAAGCGGTAAGAATTACGTGAAACACTGCTGATGGTCGCGCAGTAGTGAGGGCTCTTTAAATTTTGGCGCTGTTGTGAAGACGCATGTCACGTGACAACATCAACATGGCGGATGTAGTACGTCCGAATTCCATTCATACTACTCATTCATACTATATAGAACGAACTTTTTAACGGTCGAGTAGTACGTTCAAATTCAAATGTAGTACCTACTAAGCAGTATGCGATTTCGGACGCACCCATAATTTTTACATCATTAAAAACTGAGCCCTAAAGAATGAGCAGACCCTTGTCATGTGGACCCTTTTCACAGACTGCTGACGCGTTTCAACGGTCATCAGCATCACAAATCCTGCAAAGTTTTTTTATAGGCCTATTTTCATTTAAAAAAAACTATGTACATTTATAACACCTTACTTCGTATTGTATTACCTTTGCATCAAATTACAAAAAAAAAAAAAAAACTATTGCTGCTGTGAGGTGGTTTCTAATACAGCGTCTATGGGAGTTAAGGTAAATTTGACATCGTTTTCTCTTCTGACTGAATGTTTTCTAATGAAAACATTAACATGGCATTCTTTCACCGCTAGAAATGTACAAATATCAAGGTCCTTAAAACTGGTTAAAAACTGAAGACTGTGCCCCCAAATGTTTTTATAAAGTTTTTTTTTATTTTAATTTTTAATTTTTTTTAACTGATGGTCATTTCTATTTGTCTTTTGCGGTATACAATCCTCCAGATCCTGTGCCAATTGTTGCAGGTGTTCTCACAACTGCTGTTGGGGTAGCAATTTTGGTGTATATTTGTAGGCTATATATTGAACCGTGACAGAAGAGGTAAAGGCCAATGAATTTCCACAGGCCAATACTGAAAATCCAGATAACAAACTAGCCTACTCACCTCAGCAACTGCAGGCCAAATGAATTTAAGTTTATGGCTTAAAATTAGTTTAACTTCACCACGGAAATATAATCCCGATAACTTTCCACATGTAAAATTATGTTTGATAAATATTGAAAAAGGAGATAAGTGAATTTTGCTATAAAGCTGTACAAAGGTTCCTGAAAATGTTCGTGAGAAGAGAATATTTAGATATTAAAATTTGGCTTCATAAGGGAAAGTGGAAATGTAGCTAAAATGATATGTTGAAAATAAATTAATTAATTAGTTGATAATTAAGACTAGGGAGTCTGTAATGATTGCAACAAATAAGTTTTACCTTACAAGATGTTCAACATAAAGTGGATCAACTTTATTGTAATTATATTGAATGTATTTGTTTTAATCCTATTATTATTATTTTTTCTGTCTATAGTTTCTTTGTGGTTCCATTGTCTAATTTTGATCCATATGGAGCTCTTTGATGTAAAAACTGCCCATATTTGGTGAAAACATTTTAAACAACAAAAGCAATGAAAGACAAATCCAGACAAAACTTGTAGTCTCAGATTTATTGTATTCAGATTTTATTTTTGATGTCAAGTCAATCAATACAAAATAAATCTGGTTGAACATGGTTTCAGTTTTGTTGCATTTTTCCATTTATAACAGGGACTGTAAAATATGCTCTGGCAGCAGTTTGAATACAGGGGAAAGTATCAGGTAGTACAGTGACCACAGTAAATGAAGCTCTGAACTTGGCAAGTACACAAAGTTTAGGAGGGATGGTCCACAGAAATGCCATTGTGCCTGTTTTTTGTTGTAACAGATCTCCCTTGAATGTGAGGTAACTGGACATTGGAAGACCACAAGTCATTGTCATCAGTTACAGGCTGACAGTATTGTACTATTAATAACAAATAGGTAAACTAACATTGACAGCCATTGCATAATGACAAAAGTGATATTAGTCAACAAAAATGCAGCAGGGAGCTTGTAACAGCACAAAACATTCAACCAGGACTTTCAGGACCTGTATAGCACATCCCTGATCCAGTGAAACCATGGTACTGCTTGTGGAGACTGAAATCCTATTGTTGTTACAGGTCTAATTGGCTTCAGTGGTTTCCATGTGTATATATTTCATTCAAGTCTCACTTTCCCCATATATATCAGTGCAGAAATAAACAAATTCAGTGACTGGGAGCACATTCTCCATTACATTCTTTCTGGTGTCATTTTAGTGTAGTTGAACTGATGATTTAAAATGGTAGTGACACCACCAGACAAGAGGTGTATGTTGTGGGTAACTACCATCAACGCACAGAACAACCTAAAACTTATTTTATGCTTAAGAAATCATTGTCCTCATCTCCTCATTAACAGGGGATAGCTGTCTGGCTAGAATATAGCACCATAGATGGTTTAGGTTGTAAGAAGGTTCAAGTGATCTAGTAGCAAGAAAGGAAGATAGGATGCTGGGATAGGTTGGGTTGGGGACTCTTCTCCTTAAAAGCGTTTACTGCTGACACTGGAGACACTGGTTTTGCTGATGGAGCTACTACCGTATCCTGATCCACCACCAAATCCTGAAGAGCTACTGAAACCACCGCCATAGCCGAATCCAGAGCTGCTACCAGAGTAACCTGCGAGAGAAAGGAAGTTTAGACATGTATCCAACATGACCTGGAGAATTAGATTATAAGAAAGGTGGAGGGATTCAGAGAGAGAGAGAGAGAGAGAGAGAGAGATTTATTTACCAGATGAGAGACCTCCAGAGGTCTGCTGCACGTGAATGGTGGCTGAAGCTCCACCGCTGGACAGTCTAGAGTAAAGAAGACAACAGATTTGTTTAGTGATGTTTTGAGGACATTATATCCTATTGCCGGTAAAAAAAAAATGGAGTAATGGAGTAAAAAAAAGGAAGTCTTTAAAAGAAAAAGATAAATGTTCTTTACCTTCTTGAGCAGAACAAACTCATTCTCTACTGAAGCACGCTTGATGATCTCATCTTTGTACCTGTTAAGAGAAAGGAAATGTGAGAATCTATTCTGTTTTCAGTGTTTTTTTCCCCCATCAGTTCATTCAATTTCAAAATTACAACTCACTTGTTCTTGAAGTCCTCAACCAGGCCCTGCATGTTCAGCTCTCCTTCCAGCTTCATCTTCTCATTTCCCAGGCCATCGAGCTGTCTGCGCAGGTTAGAAATGTAGGCCTCAAACATGGCATCGATGTTGGAGCGGGTGGTCGTCTGTTCCTGGAGGAGACTCCATTTGGTCTCCAGCATCTTGTTCTGCTGTTCCAGGAAACGCACCTGGGGAAATAAATAAATAAATAAATTAGTGTTTTTATTTGAAGATTTTCACTTTCAAGCTCCTTGGAGGTTAAAAATGTCATGGAGAAAGATTGCATTCTGAAAAAAATTGTGAATGAATGAATAAATTAAATGGATTGATGGTTTTGTCTGTCTTGTATGACTCCTTTGTAGTCCTGGCTCTTTAAGTCTTTTTGTGTATGCTCTCTGGAAGCATTGTTTAAGGGAATACAAATGGCCATGAGTCATTTTAGCAGGCATATTTCTGAAGGGTGGAGTGGGGGAGGGGGAGGGGAAGGTGAAAGTGGAATGACTGGGTGTGGCAACGCTGTACACAAGCTACAAACTCCTAGACTGAAAAAAAAAAAACTCCAGTAATGGCCTCGCCCCAAACCTGCATTACTTCACAGATAAAACAGAGCAAAAACATCAGAGAAACAAGACATACCTGCCACACCCTAAGGCAGAGTTTTGTGTGTGGTCTTTGGAGATTAGCCATATATGACAGCACCTGTCTAGCTAGTAATCTACTAAACTTGTGTTTATAAAAAAAAATTCTAGATTTTTTCCCCCTAGATGTATGTAACCTGGATGTACCCTGGAAATATTAGTTCCCTTCCCTTTTCCTCAAAACTTCTTTATTTAACTATCTTACATTAATAATGATTTACATTTCCCTGTTATCTTAAACATCAGAAAAAGTTTAAAAGGCATTTATTGGCATAGTCTTTGACCTGTAACCTGCTAGCAAGTTATAAAGCAGAGTAAAAGTTTGGAGCTTCTGGTGTCTTTGGTCCAGATGACTCATCCTGGTCACACACTGCCTACTGCAAATTCTCCCACAGGCACTACAAAATAAAGGTGTGTGTGTATGCTGACTACATGGCCTTTAGGGCGTGTCTTCTGTCCACATTTGCTCAGAAAGTTGTGAAGTGTTTGTTTGCAGCCAAATGTGGGCGTAACAGAGTTGACTTTTTTTTTTGATAGAGGATGATAAAAAAAATGTATGGGACAAATGGATCATATTGACAGTTTCATAAGCTGTGCAATTTTTGTGGCGTAATAAAGTCTAGACTTTGGACTACGGACACACTGGTTACTTCTAGCGCTCTCTATATACAGTATGTGTGTATCTATGACTCACATGGTTGCTAGGTTATTACCCAAACTCCACCCATATTTGGATAGCCTCAGTCATGGGTTTTTGAGGACTTTTTTCCAAGGCTAAAGCCACAGAGAGAGATCTAGTACAAATTGTTTAACATATACATTAACTGATTAGCTTAGTGCTACTACTTTGCTTGTACTGCCCAATTAGTAAAGATAGTACACACTGGCTCTGGTGTAAGCAGATGAAACTTTTACATCTAAGAAAATTGCTTAGCTTGCAGCTATGATTAAAAAAAAGCTGTTGTGCAAGAGAAAACATTTAAGTGTCACTCATTTTTTTTATTATGGTGTGTAGTAATACTAAAGGCATCCAGTGTTAAGAGTCACAGGTTCAAAGGTCATACTTAGTAATAAAATGAGCATTCTGTATTTGAATGCACCACAGACTCTGTGCACAGCAATATCATTATATATATTTGCATAATATGTAAAAGTCAGTGTTATTTTAAGAGAGACTGAATGCATGAATACTCACTTTGTCAATGAAGGAGGCAAAGCGGTTGTTGAGGGTCTTGATCTGCTCTTTCTCCTGAGTGCGGACAGCCTGAATCGTGGGGTCAATTTCTAGGTTGAGGGGGGCTAACAGGCTCTGGTTGACGGTTACAGCTGTGATGTGAGGTGGAATGAAGCCACCACCGAGACCTCCACCAAAACCACCACCGTAGCCTCCACTCATGCTGCTGCTGCTGAAGCTGTAGTTGCTGCCTCCAGCACCGAATCCTGCACCGAAGCCTGGACTGGCACCCACGCCAGATCTCCTGACACTGGTCACGGTGCTGACCCTGCTAGAGCCGGCGGGAAGTGCGTAGGCTGACTGGCTGGAGTAGCCAGACTTCCTCATGGAGCCACTGCTGCCACCGAAGCTGATAGATCTGGTGCTTGTCATGGTGCCTGTGAGTTGAGTTGCTGAGAAGGAGGTACGAGAGTGCTCTCTGAGAGAGGAGTGGAGGAGGTTGCTCACAAAGGAGAGTCAAAGTCCCTCTGCGTGTCTCTCTGCAGCTGGCTGACCGTTTTTATGCACACACTCAGGAGGCGGAGCCACACATACACTCGCATACAGATACACTCTCATACACACCATACCTGTTAGACAGGTACAGAGAGAAAGTGGCAAGATAAATTGTGTCACACCCAGCCCCAGGCTTTGCCCCAGGTGGAGTGAGAAAACAGGAGGAGGGGCAGAGACTCTAGGACAGACATTCCAGTATAACTCTGAAAGAAAGATAGAAAAGACAGTGTAGATCTCACAGTCTGCCAGCGGGTGTGTTTCTGCCTTAGTATCTGGTTGGCTGGGCAGCCGTAGAGAGTGAGTTAACCTCTGCTCTTTTCAGCAGGGTGGGGTGCGAAGCAACTTTCACATTTATGAATGGCTTTTTCCCATCTACTTTTGACAGTGTTTGGAACCGTCAGGGCTTTTTTCCCCCAAGAGCTGAAGAGTTGCATTGTTGAGATTTACAAGAAAAAAAAGAAAAGGACCCAGTTTCCATCTGTACTGATATTGGAAAATGTGCACACACACATATGCACAGTAGCTAGCGGCTAATGCATACAGCTAATGTGTTTTATGGCTCTAAACTCCACCATATGTATGTACATATGAGTGTGTGTTTGAGGTGGAGCAAAGTGGTGTGATAGAGCTGTGGAAAAAAAACGAGAAAAGTTGCCACAAAAATACATTACATTTAGCTCTACCTGTAAACTTCTTCAGGATCACTCATAACTTCAGTTCCCACACCCTGCATAATCAGACTATTTCTCATTTCTAGTTCAAGTCAACATGATAAGCCAGCTGTTGGGTGTCACAACCACCAGTGATGGGCATTTCATAGTATTACACAAGCATCTACAACTATGACACTATGATAGGATAAACCAGGTGTGAGATCATAGTACAGCAATCATCGCTTTGTATGAGTGTTTGTGATGATTAATAAGCTCCAGCTATGTCTCTAGCAATGGCGTGCACAAGTTCCTTCAAAGACGTCAGACATGCAAGGGAAGGAAAGGCAAGAAAATGCATGTCCGGGCTGGATCTCCGGGACATTGTGGAGAGGGTTTACTGCAGCAAACCATTATAGTAATCAGACAAGAGTTTGGCTAGGGGCTTGGCTTGAGTGTCTACAGACTCGTTCATTACTTTTTGTCCATTCTTCATATGCACATTTCAGTGTGCATGCATGTTTTTATATCTGAGTTTATTTGATCTGATGTTAAGGTGCATTATGCATATTTTGCAAAGTGTACATCATTTGCTCCTAATAACATAACAGGGTTTGGCACCTTTGACATTATTGCAATGCAACCTGCATTTGCATTTGAATAGTGTATTATGTGTATGAATATGCAAATATTAGTGTATTGTGAGTAAGAATATGCAAATATTTATGCATCAAGGTTGATGACAGTATATATTAATGTTATTAAAAATTATTTAGATTTCCACTTAAATATACACGTACACATATAAAGAGAGATATATGGATATACAGTCAAACCAAAATTTATTCAGACACCTTTAACATTTCACACATTATCACAGTTTATTCGCTATAGTTTAGAAAATGGTAATAAAATATGACAAGAACTCAGAGTTAAACTGTGTCAGAACAAATTCATCTTGATAATGTCAGATAACACTTAAGCAAAATATGGTCAGGTCACCCACTAGTAAAAAAATATATAAAAAATTATATCTGGTGTCTGAATAATTTTTGGTTTGACTGTATTCATGCATTAGCATTTATTTGTGTATTAAAGTGTCATGTTTGATGATGAGAGATAAAGATCTGTTGCGTCTGGAACATTCCTGGTTTAAGAACTGATGACAAGAATGGACACACCCTTTATTAGGATCATCAGCTGACTTACAGCATGCACTGAAATAAACCTTTGAAAGATTAAAAAAAATTAACATATGGATTAACATATAGCATAGATTGGATGTACGCTTGAATACCTTCTCCTTTGCAGTTTTATTTCAATAAGAGCAGTTCAGATGTACATTGTCACATTCTTCACAAAAAGACTGTAAGGTATGCGGCCAGTCAACCTATCACTCACGAGGGTGGAATCATTTTTAGATGAGCACCGTATTTGCAAATCAAACAGTGGCGGTACAGAACAGGACTTCTTCTGTTATGTATTTTAATGGCACCCAATAGTCTAGATCTGATAAAATGAAGCAGAATCATGTTTTAATCCAGTCCAGTCAGAGTTGTATCTCTGAAGGGGGTTAACAAGAGAAACATATAACACCTGTCTGCATTTTAAAAGCGTGCAAAACAAAAGTCAACAGAACAAAAACACAACTGAACAGCACATTCATTAATCTGAATTTTTAATAATGCATGGGGGGATGGGATTGTTATTACTTTTTCATTGTCCTTTTCATGGACGATACATTCAATATTTCCATTTCAAACCCCTTTGAAAAGGACTCATTATTTTAGGTTTTCTTTCACGTTAAGCATTTCTGGGTTGCAATAATACCAAGAAATAATTACTTTAAAGGGATCATATGATGTTGCTAAAAAGAACATTATTTGGTGTATTTGGTGTAATGAAATGTGTTTATGCAGTTTAAGGTTAAAAAAACACATTATTTTCCACATACTGTACATTATTGTTTCTCCTCTATGCCCCGTCTTTCTGAAACGCGTCGATTTTTACAAAGCTCATCGGTCTGAAAAGCGAGGTGTGCTATGATTGGCCAGCTATCCAGTGCGTTGTGATTGGCCGAATACCTTAAGTGTGTGACGGAAATGTTATGCCCCTTACTGTGTTGCCGTGTGCTGGCGCGACGAGACAAAACCAATAAAACCCATAACAAACGAGGCATTTGTTGGTAACACTCCAAAGAGAAAGGAAAACTTGAAATCGCATCATATGACCCCTTTAAAACACTACAGTCATCTTTTACATTTTTAGAACTGATCACCAAGTTCCAAAATACAGCTAAATGTTGCACACCTGGATTTACATGTCCTTTAGAGACTTGTTCACCTGCCTGGGGGACTTTGCTGTGGTATGTATGTTTTAAGACTGCCTCAAAGCTACCAGGCCAGAATCAGCAGGTTTTTATCAATCTTGTATTTAGTAAATGGGTATGTAAATGTGAAATGTTGAAATTTTGACATGCCATACGTATCATGCCAAAACAACTTTGTTTTGTAAAAACATGTTTGGGACTACAAAATAAATGGACTTCTTTAGAAGGAAGGCCTGCATCAACAAACTGGATCCAACTGACATTTACTGCATAAAGTAGAGTTTAAGTTGTCAGGTTTCAAGAGAAGAGACTTAATTAATTAATTAAATTCAAAGAATTCAGATGAATGAAACCAGTCAGGTCTGTATTTCCAGACTATGCAGGGTGCTGAAGCCCACTCCCATGAAATGCTACACCCATCCCAGTTCGGCAGAACTGGCCTTCTTAAGAAGCAACAAATACAAATTTAATGTCACGAATGACACAAATTCCATGCTATTGCCTAACTTCTTCTTTTGAAGGTCATCAAGATATGTACCAGGTATTCCATGCACAAGACACACAAGCAACACCTATGCAAAAGTACATCTTAGATGCATGTGCACAGATAGGACTTTTCTTTCAACACTCATCATGACCATCAATGTGTAATAGGTGGATCCAGAAACACCCTAAAAACTTAATTAAATCACCTCTTGGTGGTTGTCTTTTTATATTTAAGTCTATTAAACCATTTTATCAGAGCTAATGTCATTAAATTATTTTAACTATACAATAGAGATTGCATAAACACTTTTTTATTATGATTATGTGTGCAGCACTGAGCCCGATACTTTTGTATCTTCTCAGTGTTTATTTTTCGTTTTTCCTTATTTGATTTGTTTTTTGTTTCAAAGGCCAAGGAGTGGAAGAAGTGTATAAACAGCTCTGTCTCTACATGCCTCTTTTCTCCTCCTTCTCCTACCTCATAACATGAGTATGCCTTCTTATAGTTTATGGGTGGTGACTTAAAGAACTTAAAGAAACTCACTCTGGAGTATCACATTACTCACTGTCAGTTAGTTGGCAACTTCTGAAAATGCTATGAACCAGCGTAGAATACTTTCATACAATAAGGGTGCTCATATAAACAGCTGCAATCATACCTCTTAGTGTGCCATTTCACAGAGCCGCTTTTTATCTGTTTCAGGCACACCCATAATTTCAACAGATTTACTACTGAACTCAATAGAAATAAAAACGCTCACACACATACAAACTGGAGAGGCCAGGGTTCAGCTATATTTTGAAGGTGGATTTTAACTAAAAAGTCAGGAACCGGCCTTTTTTCTATAAATGTCAGGTTGGGGCAAATTGTCATATGTGACCCTGGACCACAAAACCAGTCTTAAGTCGCTGGGGTATATTTGTAGCAATAGCCAAAAATACATTGTATGGGTCAAAATTATAGATTTTTCTTTTATGCCAAAAATTATTAGGATATTAAGTAAAGATCATCACCCTCAGATTCCAGATATTCAAATAGTTGTATCTCGACCAAATATGTATGGTTGTCCTATTCTAACAAACCATACATCAATGGAAAGCTTATTCGTTCAGCTTTCAGATGATGTATAAATCTCAATTTTGAAAAATTTACACTTAAGACTGGTTTTGTGGTTCAGGGTCACATATGTGTTTTATATTTTGCTATTTTATGCAATTCAGTATTTATAATTTATGTTAATCAGACCCTTGGTTTGACATTTTTGTATATTACTTTCTTCGTTTATTTTATTTTATTTTACTTTATTTTATTTTATTGCTGTTTGATGCAGTTTTGTGTTTTTCTGCTTAAGTATTGATGAAAATCCATTAAAACAGAAAATTGAGGACTTTTATACTAAATTGCATATGCTGTATTTAAAAAAATTATCAAATAATTATTTTTAAAAAAGCATTTTTCAATTGTGACAACTTGCCCCATGAACATGTCCCGTCAACATCTACCCTTAGAAATGTAAGACTTTTTTCTTTATTT